TTACTCACTTATGTTCCACTCGGATACGCTGGATATTTGCATGGACGAAAACTGGACCCTGATCCCCGTCGGCTGTTAACCCCCGGCCCCCTTACCCCCCGCAGCCAATGGAGGCCGAGACCGTCAGTTGTCATTTGCATATAATTTGCATTGGACTCCTCCCCCACCCCCCACCCTCACCCTCAATGACTGTTTGCAATGTCAGGAGGCCAAATTAACCAGTGTTCCGTTTGAGCCCGATTTGCATCTCATTTGCATCAGAGTTGCTTAATGAGGGTTACTTACTCGAGTGCCCCCCCACCACACACGGGGCAGATCGCGCGCTGGGTCTAATTTCATTAAGGGGAAAACAGCCGTTGGACTGCGAGGTGCCTTACGCAAGCTGTTTGCAACGCGGCGTCGTATCTACTGTGAGGATGAGGGATTCTCAGCGTGTCGGGGCGGCGCATTAATCATCCCGTCCTCGGAGCCGGATCACCGGACAGAAGAGGTTCGAGGCCAGCTGAGCACTTCAGTGAGGGAGGGGGGAGGGGGCGGGGCGTCGCTAATGTGTTCATATGGAAACACGCACGCAGGCCAAATGTTTGTTTGCCCTGGGATGGGCTCCTGTGTTCACCCCCGGTCCTTTTCATTAAGGGGAGGGCAAGAGAGCGACACGGAGTCCCCTCTGATGTTATTGTGTGCATTTCAATAAGGAGAATATCTGGCTCTGTTTGGGGAAGCAGCCCACGCCCGTTTCACCGCTGTGTGTGTGTGTGTGTGTGTGTGTGTGTGTGCTCGCTTTCCGACGGGGCAGAGAGGTTTTCTGTGTGCACCTCCTCCGCTTCCACTTGGAGCAGTGAGGTTCTCTCGTCTCCAGCACGTGATTCCATACGCGGCGTGTGCGGCCCGTGCCGCCTCCTGCTGAGCGCTTTTATTGGGAAAATGTGACTCCTGATTTCTGCACGTGCACTAATCCCGTCCAGAGAGGGGAAGAAAATGCCCCCGTTGGCCGAATGTGCGATTGTTCCGCGTGTAAGCGGACTAGCCAGCACTCTCACACTCATTACCAGTGTTTTAAGTGTGAGTGTGAGGTGCTTAGCCCTGTGTGCGCGCGCGCACACACACACACTCACACACAGGCTGGGGGTCAGTTTAATGGGGCAGAAGGCCTTGAATGGTTCCGGTGCTGTGATGCATTAAAGCTTAATAAGCCGGCTCTTAAGAACATGCTCCGGAGCTGATAAGTGGAAAGATATTTCCCTCTTCCTCCTGCTTCTTCGGTCTAATGGCTGCTTCCACTTCACTCGGGTCCATTATTAGTCCTTGAAAGATTATTCATTTTTTTTGTTTGTTTTTTTATCTTCTGTACCTAATATTTTCTCTCTAGTTCATGGAAGAGGTGGATGTTGGCTGCCCACATTCAGATGAACTGTGGTGACGAATGAATGGAAGGCATTCAGGAATAGTCAGT